GTTCCCTTTCAATGACAACACTGAAGTTGCAAATTGGATGAGTTTGCTAGTTAGATGCATAACCGTATTTGATTCAGATTTCAATTCTGTTGCGAAACATCTGCCAAAAGTGCAAAAGTACTTCAGAAACTGCCACAACAAACCGTCCCATGCCTCTGTGTCTGATATTAGTTAAAATTTCACAACAATTTCAGCCGCCTGCCCGCACAGCTGTAAAGTAGTTCTGGCCACAAGCCAAATTTGCGCAAATTTGCCAGCCAACCAACCACTCCACTCCGCTCCACTCCGAACCGCTTCGCCTGCTGTCCCTTTGGCTGTGGGTAAGTTGTCACAGCATTGGCTGGCTAGCTGGCTGCCTGGCTGGGAATGGGCCATACAAATTGTTGGCCAGTTGCGGGGGGGAGGGGTGCACAGACTCAGACTCGTGCCACGGCCACTATTAAAATTTTATACTTAACTAATGTGCTGTTGGTTGGGATTTTCCTTTTGGTTGGATTCCAACGGCAAACAGCTGACGTACACAAAATTCTCCTCAGTTCCACAAAAGAGAAAATTCTGTTAAATAAGTGACAATGTGTGTGTGTGTGTGGGTGTATATGTGTACACAGCATACAAGCGTACATCGGTTTAGTCAACAGGATACGAAATTGTCTTTGGATTTGTGTTTTTGTCCATTTGCTTGTTTGTTTAATTTTTGTGTTTCTATTCACTTTTCTTTTTTGCGTTTCTGTTGACCACGCCCACGTAGGAAATGAGTTTATTGCCGTTGTAAATATTGTAAAATGTTTTGTGTGCACCAAGGCAAAATAAAAGTCGAAATAAAGTAAAATAAAAATTACTTTATTTCACCCAAACACAAGAGCTAAACCTGAATTTCATTCGATGTCGGCCAAAATGCTAAAATCCTCTCAGCTCCTGCGGTTCGTTCGGTCTAGCGACTGGCCAGAGTGGCCATGTATCATTGATTTCACACTTTGCGTTCTCAGCTGGCCGCCAGTGTGCAGCTCCGAGCTGTGTTTTATAATTTAAGTGCTTTTTCTTGGCCAAGATTTCAGTTCGTTGTCTTTCAGTTGTCTGCAGTCAGATTTATCAATCACTGCGAGGTGTTGCGGGCAAGCCGAGTGCGGTTAATAGAGAACTATTTGAATTGTCTGAAATGAATTTTCGAAATGGAAATGCAGTAAATAAATAATTTCCCTTTTCCTACTTTCTATACTCAAATGTTCGCTTTCTGAGCTTTAATTCCCTTAAGTCCAAGTCTGTAAAAAATAACATTGAACTTTTCTTAATCCCCGGCGCATTTCCGTATAAATTCCCAATCAATTAACCGTGGACTATCTGTAAGTATTTTGAGTTCTTACAGCACAAACTCGTAAACCATAAATGATTTAAATGGCACGACGTTTCTCGTTATGGCAACACTTTTTATCAACATTTCCTGCCGGCAAGCCGAGAACGCATGTGAAGGAAGTCGAGAACCACAGGATATGAAAATAAAACAAGCAACTGCTGCTGCTCCAGCTTCTGCTCCGACTGCAGCAACATGCAACCGAATCCTTGGCCAAAAAGTGCAATGCATTTCAGTTTTGGCCTTTAAATAGTTTTGCCTACTTTCGAGCAGCAGCAGCAGCAGCAGCAGAGCAACTGCAGCAGCCGCTGCACCAGCAAAAACAATGTGCACTCTTTTGCTCGCTCTCGTGCTCTGCTGAAAGTTTACACTGTGCAAATATGCAGAACTCGTACACATTCACACACACGCACACACACACACACACACACACGCACACTTATAGAGGCACCCATCCATTTCCTTTAGCACCCCCACTCGACTGCTGCATATTGTATAACGACGCATTTTTTCCGCTTTTGCCGCTGCTACAAAACTCTTATCAGCGCCATTTCCCTTTTGGACAAGAGTGGGCGTCATACGGGCTGGGCGTGGCATTGCGTGCACCCAGAAATTGTTTAAAAATAGTTTGCAAGTGGTAAAGAAG